TTCCCTCCCTTCTTTCTGCTCCTCTTGCTCCCGCTACCCCACAGCTGCTCCTCAACTTTTTTCATCAAGACTGAAAAAGGGTCGTTTGTAAGCAAACCTGAGCAACAGTGCCGATTTGCCGCCGCCAATGAGAAGGATCAATCAATTTCAGATCGATACCATCAACCAGGATTTGGCCCGAAATAGGCTCAAATAGCCTAAGATTTCATTATATAATTAGAATTCTGCCTTTCGGTTGCACTAAAATCAGTTTCTGAATTCACTTTCCTTTTTAAGAAGCTTAATTTTGGGCAGGAATATAACAAAATTAAATCCCGACTCCTACCTCAGAACCAGATTTGCGATCGTGCTTTTTCCGGATCCGGAAGGGCCAACAATGGCCGTTGTTTTACCAGCTGGCATATGAAAAGAGAGGTTTGTAAACAGCAACGAACGATTGGGATACGCAAAAGTAACATTCTCGAACGTAATTCCATCAATGAGATCTTTTTTGATCAGTCCACCTTGAAAAAAAACGCACATTACTGCCAAAACGGTAAGCAAAAAAGCATGGTGGGGGCAACAGTAGGTTCCAGGCAAATTCTTTCAAAATTTTACAGTCCCTGTTTGATGTGATGAACGTCATCGAAGCAGTCAGTTATTCTAAAGCCGCTGGGCTGAGCATGCGGAGTCTATGGGTTGGACAATGCACAAGGCTAAGCAGTAGTCATATAGTGATTAGCAATGAGACGCCTCCAGTGAGTACAATCCATACGAAAATTTCTGAGGCATTACGTGGATACGGTGAGTTCCAAACCGCACACAAAGGAAATGTCAGCTGCGTCGAACGCAAGAATACAGTGCTGAAAGAGCAGCACTGCTTACTCGTCGGATTGGCATTAATTTGCCAAAATTCACGGTCAATGTAAAAAACATTCCCAAAACGTGCCACGCACTATACCGGTGGATTTTTGCGAACCGGCAATTAGGCATTTTCCTATTCGCTTTCAAAAAAAAGGAAGAATTATTGGAAGAATGGTAATCAAACCTGTTATTGGCACTTTTGGTACTCTGTTACGAAGCTCGAAGAGTCTTGCGCTTGCACCAAGGCCCTTCATAAGCTCGGTGTAGAAATTCACCATGCTCGGAAGGCTGAGAGCACATAACGATGCATACCAAATGAATGCAAGCAGGTCACCTGAAATTGTCCTGCTTTTCTTATACAACCCATAACTGATGCAAGGAGGCAGTCAAACATTACAGGACGAGACTTACCATATGTTAATGATCCAGCGCTCAACAAGTGGCTGCCATAGTGTACGATTGTATACAAACAGGCCAGTATAGCAAGCTCGTGCTGCAGAAACACAGATGTGATATAACTGAATGTAATCATCACAAACGTAAACTCAAAAACCATAATCAAAATCATAATCATTAATCGAAGTAATCTGATAGTGGTAAACCCGTTTGTAGAAATCTTAAATGTACTGGCCTCCAGTCTCAATGCACATACACCGATACGAATATGACAGTGGTACATTATCACTGCGGTTTTTTCCTCGTTAACAGTTTCGAATTTATATAGTCACAAATGTACTACGTAAAATGAGCACTGTCGACTTCTCCAAATGTAATAGTTCCATCGTTTTTTTTAACTTATCTTAAGTTGTTGTTACAGTTCAGTTTGCAATATCAACAACGAAATGCACACCAAAACAATCATGCATCCAGTGGCACGGCCCTCACGTCGTGAAACGAGCCACAGCTGCCGTATTCGCTCTTTGTACGTTTCACATTCCCTCAATTCCGAAACAAGCGTCCGAACGGTTATCACGTTTGAAAATTTCTCTGTAGCAACCTCAAAACAAAAGCACTTCAATTTTGAGGCAGTGGTTGGAATACAGAACATCCAGACTTCGATAATGCGTAGCTAGCTACGTAAAGCACCGGGATAATCATGCTTAATTTTGTGTTTATCTTTTTTCCAGAGAGACACAACCACATCAGCAAGTGGGGGCTGCGAGATGAAATCGACTACTAGGACGTCCACGAAAGAGGTCGTGTAGAGCAATGCGTAAATGGACATGTGTTACTTCACGCAGAAACACACAGCTATGATCGGCATGTGGTCGGTCCTGTGTGATATCAGCGCCATCAAATCACCAAACGGTGGCCCGGACGGAGGTACTGATTTTAATTTTCATCCTACTGGTCACAGTTTTTTCGCATTCTTGCTCATTCTCAAGTGCAGTGCAGTTGTATACAGCAACTTTGAAAAGATTTATTTGTTTCGAAAAGATCCCTTTGACTGTGCATGGGATCGTCAAATACTCAGAAGCCAACCTCATTTGATGCGGCAACAGCCTCCTGCATTTGCAATGTATATTTCCTTTGTAAATTACCAAAACAATATCCCGAAGAAACGATTGCCGCTGTAAGGCATGTAACCACTTTAGACAATTCCGGCGATGTATAGATCTGTCCTGGCAAACATGTTCACAGCAAATCAGACAGAACAATGATAAGAAATTAGCAATCCTCACTAATAACAATAAATGGCCAACGCATGGGCTGCCCGTGCGAAGATGCGTTTTTTGCAGAGTTTCCCGCAAGTTTTTGTCGCTACCGGCATCGGTTTTTCGGCAGATGCTTCTAGCTGAATTTCAGACTGGCCGCCAGAACTGTCAGGAAGAATCCCCTCAAAATTCCCAATCTTCTAGCTTCTCACGTTCTCGAGTAATAACTTACCCGGAAAGGAACTTTTTCACGGGCCTGTACGTAGGTACCACGCTTACCCAGTAATTAACTTACCCGGAAGGAACTTTTCACGGGCCTGTACGTAGGTACCACGCTTACCCGCGGGCAACTTACCCGGAAGGAACTTTTCACGGGCCTGTACGTAGGTACCACGCTTACCCGCGGGCAGGGTTTGAACTCGTTAATACCCACTTAGACAGAAACACCCCCCTAAGATTCCAGCTGTCTAGCTTCTCAGAACCCTGAGTTAATTTACGCGGGAAAAATTTTGGGGGGGGGGGCCTGTATGCGGGTACCACGCTTACCCGAGAGCTGGGTTTGAGCTCATTAGCACCTGCTTGGACGGGGAACATTCCCCTAAAATTTCAGCTTTCCAGCATCTCAGAACCCCGAGTTATGAATTTACGCTGGAAAAATTTTGGGGGGTCCGTGCGCGAACACCACGCTTAACCGGGGGCTGGATTTGAGCTCACCAGCACCTGCTTGGACGCGGAACATTCCCCTAAAGTTTCAGCTTTCTAGCATCTCAGAACCCCGAGTTATGAATTTGCGCGGGA